TAGGGAGTGAAGTAGTCGAGCGTGTTGATCACTTCACTTATCTGGGGAGTCTCATCAGTGCTGATAGCCTGATGACTGACGAAATCTCAGCGCGGATACAGAAGGCTCGATTGGCTTTTACCAACCTGCGTCACCTAAGGCGTAGACGAGATATCCGTTTTCTGACTAAAGGACGAGTGTACTGCGCAGCAGTTCGCTCCGTCTTACTTTATGGCTGTGAATCATGGCCAGTGAGAGTAGAAGATATTCGTAGGCTACTGGTTTTCGATCATAGGTGCCTTCGAAGCATTGCTCGTATATCCTGGGACACCCGAGTGAGCAACGCTGTTACTAGGAAACGGGTGCTAGGTAAGAATGGTAGATCAATAGATGAGGTAATGAAACTTCATCAGTTGAGGTGGTTGGGACATGTGCTGCGTATACCTAACCACCGACTACCTCGACGTGTCGTGTGGGAATAGGTTGGAAGAAATCTAGGGGTGGCCAAACCAAAACATGGCAGAAATCCATGAAGTCATTGACGAGTGGACTTGGCCATGTCGGTAGTTGTCGACTACCTGGCTGGGGTCCGTGAGATGATAATAATCGATGGTTAGAGACCCTAAATGACATGGCTCAAAATCGTTTGCAATGGCGCCGGTGCATTTATTCTTTATGTTCTCTCAAATCCTAATCTTCTGGATTGTTCAACCCCTCTATTTTTGAATTTTTAAACTTTTCTCACTGAATCATACTTGTTGAATAATATCCTCTAATCCTAACCTCTCCGATTACTTCTAATACCTTTACTACCTCTTCTACTATTGGATTTGAATTGACAATTACATCTCTGTGCTGATGTGGTATGGCAATATGAACTGATGTACTTACGTACGAAGTTCTACGTTGCATCTAACTGACTGACTGACTCTTTTCCGAGATAGTCTCACTTACAGTATGATTCCTAATACAAGTTTCCTTGATAAGTCGGAAAAGTTGTCTAGTGTTGCCGATCGCCGCTGCCTTTTCCATCTCTCTCGCTTTCGCCACCCACCACTGTTCACGGTCGTTGCGCAGGCTTTTTATCAGCCCGCGCCTAAGCTGAGTTCGTTCTTCATCATGTTCAGAGTCAGGTGGGATGAGTTTCCGGGCATCCATTAAATCGGTGGATGCTACAGAGATCCATGGCTTCATTCTAGCCTTATGGTTTACCTTACTAGCAGATATCACTGCTGTTTCCACAGCCTTCTTGATATCATTCCAACCTGCCTCCGGATGCGAATCGCTTAAATGGTCGCCTAACTCTCTTTCTAGTTCCTCCTAAAATATTTTCTTAGCTTGATTATCATCAAGTAAAGCCCTAAGAGGCTTCCCTATGGTGTCTTTCCTACGTCCAGTAAGCCTCAAACAAATGCGCGCTCGCACAAGGGCATGACTTGAATTTAAACATGTGCCCCAGAATGAGCGACAGTCCTCCATCGAACCCCTCCATCGGTGGCTGATGGCGATGTGATCTAGTTGTGTCCAACGTTGAGACGACTTCGGGGGTCGCCAGGTCAAAAGATGTTTTTCCTTATGCATAAAGTTAGTGTTTGCTATAAATAGTTGGTTATCTGAGCACAGTTGCAACAGCCGGTCACCATTGTCTGTTCCATTAGCCGCGACATTATAAGGTCCACCCAGGTGTCTTCTCTGCTCACTTAGTCTACGTACTTGAGCATTGAAGTCACCAGCCATTAATACTATATCAGAGTGCCTATCTTTTTGGGTGGAGGTCCGAAATCTTTCTGTAGATCTCATCTTTCACCTCATCTGAACTGCGGTCAGTGGGGGGCATAGGCAGATATGCCGAAGAGGCAACGACGAGTGTCCCTATCTTTTCGAATCCTTACTGTCCTTACTTTGTCCTCTTGGTTTTTTAAAACATAACTCCCCACCTTAAGGGCGAGTGAGTAGAGCATGTTTGGAAGTGACTATGCACACTCATTCATGTTGGGGCATTACGGGGATGAAAATCTCTCCGCTCAACTTCACCAGGGGATTTGAGTTCTTAGGTGTTATATGAATTAGAAGATAATACCAAAATCACAAGAACCATGATTATTTACCATTTATTAACAACACCAAATATCACTACATCCAAGAAACCTCTACATGTAATTTCCTTTACGTGACAATGGCTATTATAAGAGCCTCAGTTTCTCAAACTATAGATACTTTTGCATCTCATAAACTGACTTAAAAAATCGGTGTGTTATTTGTCTGGATTTATTCCTAAAATATAAATGAGTAATGACAAACCCTAGAAGTATTTAAAAGATTCTTGCTAACCACAATATTTTGAAATGTTTTGAGTAAACTTTAATGTGAAGACCACGCTTCTCGACCGAATACAAATCGCTGTCATCACCCTACTATTCTGTAGAATCGTTTTGTATGAATCCATAAATATGATACTGTTTGTTACCTTGTTTCATTTTTTCACATTCTCATTTTCGTTTCATCTTTTCGCTCACCAGTGTTAGACATTTTCATGTTTGCTCTGGTATAAAGATAATGAGTGTTGTTAAGTGGAAAATAGGGATTAGATTTTCAGCCACTAAGTTCCAGGTTTGAGGCTCGCTCTGCCTACTTCGGTTCGCGCAATCAAATATTATCAGTAGCCCTCATACTGAAAGTGTAGTTCACACTCACGTCCATGGGGATAAGTTGACGTAACCCAGTAAATTTTAATAATTTAATTCCAATTGGTGGCTTATGAGTTATTAACTCGGAACTTTGTCGGCTTAATTATGCAATTCTAACTTCAATTAGGTCTCACTTTCACCATGTTCACCAATTGTTTTTGTGTTACCTGTCTACTTGGGTCTATCACTCCCCCTGAGTCTCAGGCTGCAGACCAGGAATCTCTAAGCAAATCTCTCCTGGACTGACCTTTGGAGTATGGCAAGTACATTTTATGGTCTTCAATCCTGACTCCAGTCCTCACTTGGAATTCATGTACGCTCTATATTAGGACTGGGACTGGTAACTGTTCGTCCATCGTCTGTCATTTACCCAGGCTTTAGCCCGATAAAATCCCGTGAGGTGCCCATAAATAGTCCCATCCCGATCGCACATACTGTAAGAGATTCTAAGTTTCTTGTGGTTTCATCTATCCTTAGCTGTTCACTCTACTTTGTCCAGCTATATTGTCTTAGTCGACAGTGATTTGGAGTGCTTAACATACCCTAACCACTTGGGGAGGAAGAGTCACAACTATGTCGAATGATAAGAAATATTTATTTAGTTCTCTGGCAAACCTTAGTATCTTATTTTGCCGCTCTCCGGCCGACCCTCATGATGTGTTAAGAACTTAAAAATACCTATTACTAGCAGTAGAACTAACGAACCAAATATATACCGTTTTATTGTTCTGCTTAGACTCATTTAGTAGGGTCAATCAAATTGTTTGCCTAAACATGTTTCCTGTTCCTCATTTCAAGTTCGTTTTAGGGTAACTTAAGAAGACATTAAATGTATCGTCTCAAAACAGAAAACTGTTAATTCGGAGTCGTTTTCGATCTTATTGCTAAAGGATACTTCTACGAACTAAATCTCCTAAATATTCAAATCTAGATTTTTCTTACTATTCACCACTACCGTCTACAAAGTTTTTAAAAAGCAGTTAGTGAAACTTAAAATGTCCAAATTTAAAGTGGACTATTTTTAGCCTATTCATGTAGGAATTAAGATAGTACTGGCTGTTAGTTGGTCTGCTCAGACTTGTGAAATCAAAATGATGCCGTTTAGATTGTTAACATTCTTCGTCACTTTCTCCTTTATGTAGTGATTCACATCGTTGGTGACGTAGTCACTTACATTGTTTCCAGCATTTATTTCAAAGAAATACTAATAATAATAATGATACAGCTGACGTTGTATGTGTCAGTTGTTTTAAGCAGAAAATCAACATAAATAACACCATAAGAACCTTTAACATCGGCTGTAGATCGAATTTTGAATCAAATTAATAAAACTTATCATCATTTATATCAAGATATACTGATAGACAAAAAGCAAATTATTAGTTGATGAAATACACGTTTGGTAAGGAGAAAATTCAAATTATTTCCCAATTAATAAGTACAACTGATCAACTAAATAACTTGTTTATCAGGTACCTGGATGTGAATCACAACCTTGGTTTATGAGTTTGTGATCCACTTCGGTTACCCAAACCGAAGTACGTGGGACTCGGGACCTGTTGGTTAGTACCTTCATTCATTATTCATGTAATATCAGAGATAACGATGCAAATCCATTCGTATACAGTAAATTCATTTGAATTCCACATTCAATTAGGTAATCGTAAACGTTTTCTATGTTTCATGTATCTTATGACTTATGGAAGTCGTTTCATTTGCATACTGGTCGCTGGTATTCTAAACACAAGTTAGATATTTAAACAATTCCAAACTTCTAAATATGCTGTCTGTCAGTTCACAGGAAATATACGTTGTTAACATTAATTGAATTCATATCAAAATAGAGCTTGGAATATTGTTCAAGATTAAGTTTATTGGTATCATTACCAAATATTCCAAATAAAATGATCATTGGGTGGTTCGTTAATAAATAGAAGTAAAATATTTCTGATATCTCAATGAGTAGAAAAACTAAAAATTTTCTGACGTTTTGAGATTTAGTGTAAGCCATTTCTTCAGAGTATAAAAAATCTACATTATTTTTATTATGATTAAAAATTAAGTTGTTCAGGTAAATCACAACAGTCTTTTACTTATTACGTTCATACTACGTATGAGATACTCAGATCTATGTTATCATTATTCTATTATGTATTTGTTAGGCTCAAAATAGTATTTCAATGAAATTTTATGCTTCTTCATTCTGTTTTCAGAGTTCTTTGTCAAAAGTAACACAACAGTCTTCATAAATTTTCCATAAAATCGTAATGCAACAAACTGTTTTCAGTTGACCTGTGGAATAATCCGGGTTTATTTTGTGGATTTAAAAAAAATATGTTATCGCATAATTCAAGTCAGGAAGAAACATCTGCATGTAAAGATTTCCCCAATAATACAACTGATAACTTCATCAAACCTTCTTTACCTCCATTTATTCTAAATATTTTAGACCAATTAGCCAATGAAAAACTTAAAAGTCGTTTAGAATCTGTTTTGTTAGATAGAGAATCGGAGCTATTAGAATCTCAGTCAGCCTGTAAAGATGCACAGAATGAAGTTGTAGAATCAAGGGAACAACAAGCCAAGCTTGAACTTGAATTGGCAAATATTAAAAGTGCTGCTGAAATGTTAGTGACCGAATACGAGGATGCCCTATCAACCTTAAAAAAACAGTATGACGAAGAGTTGTCATTGTTGCTGACGGCTTCTGAACAGGTGAATTTTACTGTCGTCATTTTGGTTAAAGAATTGTTCGTGACTCCGTGTTCACTTTTTAGCATGACATCTATCAGCATCATTAACTTCTTGTAATATACATTAATTCTTTGTGATCCCATCAACAAAATTAATATGGTTTAAGTCAAAACATTATTTTATAACACGATACGCAGAGCTCATCTTACAATCATGAAGAGAAGAAACTGAATTTTGAGCAGAATAAAACCTATTCGTTCTATTTAATCAGCTATTTACAACCTGTAATGTTTTAAAATCAAAACTATAATAAAAGTTGACATAGTTAGAACAATTAAATTAGTTTCAAGCAATCGCTTATTAGCATGTTAGAGTGGCAGTTTGAATAAGGGTAAAATAAGACTACAAATAACTATTCAGTGTTGCAATCAAATATAGTACTTTAGGAAAGACTCTAGGTCATGAAACATTATACTGTTAACATAAATGCATAATTTAATAATTTGTACGTTTATTTCAATCCTCATTCCATAGTAATGAGACATATTCATGCTTTACTAATTTAGCTGTTATAGGTATCTCAACTTACACGACAATTTGAATCTGAAAATATAGGTTGTAAGCAGCTAATTGTATAAAATGAATTCATATCATTCTGCTTAAATCTTTTTCTTACTCTCTTCATTTAAAATACTTTTATCCGTTAAATGGGTTTGATCTGTTAGTTTTTAGACAACTGATATTTTTTTCCGGCGTTACACCAAATGTATTGATCTTTTATGAACATAAAGTACGAAAACCCTAATTGTTTTCAGACACAAGTTATAGTTAACTAAGTGTTCAATCACTTCAAAACAAAAGGGTTGCTGTATGTTCTCAAAAATATCTTACGAGATTTATGCTCTATATGTAACTATCTGAATACTATTTCGTTTACTTTCTGCTCCTGGAGTACTGGTTTTCATCGTTCTGTGCAAACCTTGAGAAAACATAGCAAACTTACAACCAAAGAGTAGATGAAGTTTTACTCAGGTTTTAGATAATCACTATCTTATCTTATCCAAACGCTTGGAAAGTCGTGCTTATTTTAGAACATAATTCATTTTATTTTATGGCATCGAAGTGGCATCTAACTTTTTAGATGGGATTCGACTCTAAGATTATTTATTAAGGATAGGTTTATTTGCGTTGATTAAAATGCTTAAAGCTTCCTGAAAAAGAGTAAAAGTATTCGGCCACTTCTCACCATTGTGCACTAACCGCTTGTAAGTAATGAAATTTATGGTAAAAGCCAAAGCGATCTAAGTCATCTTTGACGATTGTGCAACGTTTCGGGTGAATAACTCTTCTCTGTGGTAATTCCTGCTACGTGGTGTAACAAATATTATATCCAGTCATCGTTGACTCTGAAAGTTTGCTTTCATTAAGTTCGCCATGTTGAGGTTCATCGATGTATCTAGTCACAGTAAAGAAAATAAGGCCTTCAGTGCTATCATCCGGAAACACCGTTCTCAATAGCATCACTTTATCTTATCCTCTCAGCGGCTCCCAAAGTATGAATTATTTCTCATCGCTGAAACTGGTTAGAAAAAGTACAAAGTAAAATATAAAGCTATGCAGTAAAGTATATTTAAGTATCATTGTGATCTATGGATAACTTTGTTGGCTGATGTCATGTCTAAACTCATTCATGCTTAGTCTTTTTACAAACTACAGTTAACAACTAAGTATAAAGTGATATTTTTAGTATGCGTAACCACCGTGATGCTCCAAACATATTAAATCAACGCTTTAGAGATATCAGTAACCTAATACCTGCCGGATAAATATGTTTTTAAACTTTATTGGACACCTCAGTTATACTGAAAACTGTCACTCAGTATACTGGTTCTTTTATCATCAGTCAAATTTCTTCCAAGAATGATGGTTAAAGTGTGGTCGCATAACTCATATCAGTGTTTTCAAAGCAGAAACTATAATTAGACCATTTTATTGGTCAAACACTTGAAGCAATCATATACATTCGGTGATTTCTCTTCAAAATTGATTAGTTTTGTTGGTAAATTATACAATCTAGTCCGATAAATTAACCAAATGTAATCAAAGCAAATTAAAAACTAGTAGTATTCGAGCTGCACGAATTCAAATGTTTCAACTTCATGAATTTGGGTATATGTTTTTAAACTCTTTATAACATAAATTAATTACGACTCAGTGTTGCAACTTAAAGGTTAGGTTATACTCTAAGGTTTTGTCAATTGTACCATAAGCTGAAACGTGATGTTCATTGATTCAAGTTTGACACTTGAAAGATAATTTAGCTGTCAGAAATACTAGATTGCTCTAATATTTTTAAAGTGTAATTTGTCAAATGATGCAAGACGTAATTAATATGTGGTTAGTTTATCTTTTGTCTCATAGTCCTTTCATTGATTATCAATATTTTATTAATTCTTGGTTTTTCTTTATATGCATGTACAGTGAGATATACTGTATTGTATGATATTACTGTGAAGCTTAACCAGTATGCATGGTAGAATTCTTTCTATGATTTTCATATTAGATATTTCCTTAGTCAGTCAATCAGTCAGTTACAACGTGGAACTTTGTACATGAGTACATAAATTCAGGTTGCCATACCGCATAAGCGCAGAGACGCAACTGCCAGTTCAAATCCCATAGTGGTAGAGATAGTAGTAGTATTAGCAGTAATGGAGAAGAATAAGGTTCGAAGATATGATTCGAGAAGTAAAATTCAGTGAGATAAATTTAGAAAGAAAAGAGAGATGATAAGATTACAATTTGGGGAATACAAGGAATGAATGCATCCGCGCCATCGCAAACGATTTTGAGCCATGTCGTTCAAGGTCTCTAATTACCGGTTACTTTCGTCTCGCGGACACCAACCATATAGCCTGCATCTGCCACCATGACTCAGTCCACTAGTCAGTGACTTCATGGATTTCTGCCATGTTTTGGTTTGGCCACGCCTAGCTTTCTTCCAGTCTACTCCTACTCTGCAAAACATAGCTCGTCGCGGCAGTCTGTGGTTAGCCATACGTAACACACGTCCAAACCACCTCAACTGATGAAGTTTCACCACTTCATCTATTGATTTGCCACCCCTACCTAGAACTCGTTTCCTAACTATAGCATTGCTTAGTTGTATTTATTAGGACATAAGTTAGACATCATCCTACTCTAGTCTAATTTGAACGATTGTCAGAATTTAAATAAATCGATAGTAATGACTTCATTTGGTCAACTTACTAGATGATCAGTTTTTCTCTATGACAATTTTTTCGAACAAAATACTGGCATTAGCGCATGTATCTGTCAAATTTCCATGTATTTTGAGAATTTTTATTTTCACGGTTGTCAACAATTCTAGAAACTCAGTCTCATCCTCTCAATTTTATCGTATTAGCATGAATATGAATAATTGGCTGCAGTAAATTTAGTCTCTAAATTTACAGTGTTTTGTTTCAGTGCATAATTTATAAACTCGAAATCGTTGGTTAACTCCAACAATATCATTTGTACTTTGTTAAAAATATAATTTTCCTCACTATGTTTCATTTATCATAGGGTCGTTTACATCAATTTGTTAACGGTCAACTTTTGAATAATACATCATCAACTGAAAATGCTAATTGTCCAACTTCAAAATCTTCACTTCTTATCGAAAAGAAGTCAGCTCAAAGTTTAGCCAATCAAGCACTGGATAAAGTTGAGAAATTAGTTCGACGTGTCAGTCATAAAGCGTTAACAAATAATTTTATCTTAAATAAATCCACTGTTTCATCTTTTTGGGCGAATCATGATGTTAATGCAAACAAAGAGGAGAATAATGATGATGATTATATACAAGCTATAGTTGGACCGTATGAAACAGAAATTACACGTCTACAACAGATTTTGACTAATGCTTCAATTCCATTCACTGTAACAACATTAAATCCTAGTATGTGTTCAGTAATTCATTTATGTTGATGATTATCTTACATTTTTATGATGATAACTTATTGATTATTTTGTTGGCTGTGTAACAAATATGTTGAATTAAAAATAGGTATGCAGCGTTAGTGAGAATTACGATCCATTAGTTAACTTATCTTTAGCATTTAGTTTACTGAATAGTTGTTTGGAAAACAGTAAGTAATAGTCACTGACGATCATGCTAGTATTACCTCAATTATTGTAGGAAGACCCACTCCATAAAGCCTATGAAGATTAAACTCAGCTTATTCTGAACCCGCTGGCATAATGATAATAATCATAGTAATAACAACAATAACAATAAATTCACATTAAATTTAACGTCTGATGAAAATTAACTGTAACTGCTACTGTTTGTTATGTGACATATTGAGCATTGACTGTTCTCTATCGGAATCATGGATTCCTACTGCTAGATTTTCTCATACTGGAATGAAACAGCTGTCCAGTGCTCTCTGATAGTCGATTTTTGTCTAATCAAGTCTGCTATTGATCTAAAACTTCGAAATTTAACGATCTCAATCCTATCACTACTTTAATTGTTTTCTTTATTGTTTAGAAAGGGTCAATAGGTTTTCGTTGAATGAATAATTGGGAATTGTTTAGTAGATAAGTGGATAATTCCGTTTGGTAATATTTATTTTGTTAATGTCTGTGTATGCTTGTTTAGAATAACAGTCTATTCGTTGTTTACCAATATCACATCATCAATAAACTTATTGTATCAGCAGTATTCTCTTCAAGTTGGAAGTTACTCCTCTTTTCTCATCCTTGCTCTCTCTCTCTCACTTTTTCTATCTTACAAATTTGATTAAAATACCACATGATATTATGATGCTTTCAAATTATTTATCATGGGTTGACATAAGTTACACTTTATTTTGTCATTAAACTATGCTAGTACGTTTACATCAAAGATGTGAATGAAGATTGATTTATCTTATCATGATATCATTGGATTATATATCATTGCATGCACTTTGTAATGTATAGTAAAATCTACTTATTCGTTGGCTTAAGTACAGCCCCTATATACTTTGGCACGGCCAAGAGTGTAGAAAGTCCAGTCTCCTTGAAATGCTCTTATATGGCCACGTATTAATAATCACTGCCAGCGAAGTCCTACTCACTCACTGCCTTCTCGCTGTAGAGTTATTGCTTACAAAATTGAAAGCACGAAAAGCAAATGCAAACGAGTTGGTGGATGTGGAAGATTCATCTGGGAGAGTCGGAAAACTTTCATCTCACACCAACAGTGCACATGGGCTCCACGATCTTGAGAGAACTAACGGTGTATGAACCTAATATTGGTCACCAGCTACCATAGGACTGCATTTCTTATGTTGCTTTACTGCTTTATGGATTAGACCTCTAGGTCGAAAGCTCAGAGAGTGTGGTCAGTCAGTCAGTCAGTTACAACGTAGAACATTTTACATACGTACATAACCAGATAGTCTACATATACTAACATCGGTCATTCTCCTTTTAAAACTACGTGCTTCGGTTTAGGAACCCGGAAAGTGTCCTAGTCCATACACTAATTCATTGATTTGTGTGGCGCATAAATATTCAAGTGTTTCTTTGTACCAATAATTGTGTTTAAATGTATATAAATATCATTAACTGCAAAGTACATTATGGTAGGCGTTTCCAACTTTTTAAATTATATGCTACTGCTCTGATAAGGAAGATAGGGTCTTAAGGTGGTGGAGAAAATTTGTAGCTGAAGTGGATGATGATGGTTCAGTCTCCTTATCTGAGTTGGATGTCTTGGTTCTCGAGCTCCTTCCTGAAGTAAAAGTGAAGTATATGAAGCTTGTGCCGACGATGTTGTGCAGAAGAACAATGAAAGCTTCACAAGCAAAACATTCAGCCCAGAGAACGAAACTCCTTCGTAAGATCGGTTCTTATTCCAGGGAAAGCTTACGTATGTTTCTCAAGCTTTAATGTATCTTAATTTCAGAATACTCCCATCTTTCACTGTAATACTTCGTTTATTATAGATTTAAAATTGCTTCAAACATTAAGCTCTTTATGATGGACAACTAATCTAAGGCTATCAACTCATGATATAAATCAATTAGTCGAAATTCAGTTTATTAATAAAAACATGTGACTACGTTAGTTAACATTCGATACTTAACATGCTATTTCAACATAAAGTCCTTTGTTCGGGCAATGGGAAATATGTTAAATTTTTGACCATATGATGTTTTAACTCAGGCTGGGAAAGGAATTCGGGAATAGAATGTTTAAATTATGTGTATTATTCATTGAAACCAAACTGCTTTTCTGTTGAGAATCCTTACTGTTTATTATTAGTAGAAGAGATTTTCATCCTTCCATTGCTAGTATTCTGGTTTGAATTTCTCAGTTTGTGTTACCATAGGGGCTCTCGTCTGAACATTCCTATATCGTTTGCATTGACAACATCGTTCTCACTTATTCGTTTCACTTTTTTCTCTATACCGTTTAATAAAAGTTCACGATCGCTGAATTTGAAGCCGATAGTTTACATTTCTAACGTTAATCATTTCGTGACTTTATTCAACTGCCTTCTGCAATCGATGGGAGCTCCCTCACCCTTGACACGATCGAACTCCACTGATCACGGCTTCTGACTAGATCCCTAAATTACCTCCTGTAATTAATCGATAGTGAGCACATAATTATTATCAGTATACGGGCTTATAATATACCACTACTATTTTCAGTGAACCGAATTCAAATCTTTTTTACTACTAAATAATTTTAGGGAAACTACACGTAAATATTGATTTCTAAAAATGAATTATATATATATATATATATATATATATATATATATATACATGGCGTGCGATATGCATACTGCAGTACTCACATACATTTTTAGTTTGTTCACATTTAATTTGGTTAAGCCCTTTTTAATTTATTTAACAAACTTAGCCATTCATATTGCAATAACTTATCTGTATCATTGTGCTTTTATTATTGTCGTGCTTGTATGAGCAGGTATAGTTGAGCGCTGCTTACTGCCTACAGACATTCACTTTAATGTTAGCCTCTTAAATAAGTGGATGACTCATTCATTTTCCTATGAATATATATGTACGTTGTAATCTTGCTCGCTCACTTCCTCGCTTGCTCTTCGGCACCCGGATATCATTTTCACTACGTATGCCTGTGTTTTGTGATCTGTGTGTGGTGCGATAATAAACGTAATCAATGCTTCGTATTCATCTTCTGATTTGTACACAGTTGGGCGTTATCTAGTAACGGTTATCAGGACGAGCAGTATACGAAGTTTAGGAGTACTTCGAATATCGACCTCCGCAGAACTGGTGAGCCAATATCCACTATACTACTTATCGATAACTCACAATACTCTAACGGAGGTTTACATTGTTTTTTTTTTATCTTATACGTTGTTATATATTGTTATATTATTCATTTGATGATTGTTTTTGATTAATTATACATGAATTTAATGTTATTATTTGTATTGAATGATAGTAAATGTATTTACCATTTGTTAAGCATACAAAATTATTAGAAAAAAACGTTAAAATAACACCTTTTTCTGCTCAGTTGGTATATTTACGTAACTGACTCTCAATCTGTGTACAAAATAGTTGACGAATGACATTATCAATTTATTTTTACTTAAATCATTATCTTGGAAAATGTTAGGGTAGATCAAGTTAGTGGTTGAAAGCTGATTGCTCTATCTGAAACATTCTATCGAAAAACGTTGTGACTTGTTAATGAAATGTAGTAGTGTTCAATAAATATACCGCTTTTCCACCGGTTCCAGGTTCATGCAGTTTATTCGACCCCACGTTATATGACCATCAATTTCGGAATAAATCGTGATTTCTTTCTCAGCATATGATAAATACAAGTATATTCTGATGGAGCTTTCAAAACACACTATATTTGTAGAATGTATTTCACAAAGTAAACCATACTTTCGTTGAGAATTCTCTAGTCTGATAGGAGGAGCTGAGTGTTGTGATCATAACATATTGAACGTCAGTCAGTCAGTCAGTCATAAGCAGTATAGCCTAACAAATATATGCATCGGCAGAAGTTGCGACATTTTCAAAACAAGGAAATTAATTTGTCCTAACATAGAAGAAGTAGTAATAATAGTACCAGTGATATCAAAAAATGACTAGGCATAGACAATATGAATTTGTGTAACTTTAAATGCATTGTTTCAAAACTGCAATAAAGTAGTATATACGTCTACCCCATTATGACTGATTTTATACCACGTTACCTAACATCTCCAGTGAGTGATTACAATGATTTCTCTAAGTCTAATCCTGTTGTCTGAATTTACCAGCATCGGTTCAGTACAACAGCTAATAACTTCATGGATTAACTGTGTTCATCCAGTGTATTTTTATAAGGATTTTTTTTCAAAATAATTTCTCCTGGCTATAATTCTTATCTATGAATAAATGTAACCGCTGTTTTTGAGAAAAATATCACCTAAATCATAAGAAAAAGAGAGTGATATAACCTTTTTCTTTTTATTTGATTATTGTACAAATTACACATTCAATTAATGATATTGAACTAGTTTTTGATAAACTAAGCAAAATTTACTTGTTAGTAATAAATAGAATTCATAATCATGTGTTGTTTATATTACTTTATAGGAAACAAGTGAGGGTTATGCATTGATTTTGCTCTTCTTTTTTCATTTGCTTACAATCACTATTACCTACTTACTTACGCCTGTCACTCCCAATTGAGCATAGGCCGCCGACTAGTGTTCTCCAACCAACTCTGTCCTGGGCTTCCCTTCCCAGTTCTCTCCAATTTTTGTTCATTCTTTTCATATCTTTCTCTATTTCTCGGCGTAATGTGTTCCTTGGCCTTCCTCTTTTCCTTTTGCCTTGAGGGTTCCATGTGAGGGCTTGTCTTGTGACGCAGTTGGGTGCTTTTCGTAATGTGTCCTATCCACTTCCACCG